GAAAGAAAGAAAGGAGAGAGGGAGGGAAGGAAGGAAGAGACAGAGAGAGAGAAAGGAAGGAGGGAAGAAAGAAAGAAAGAAAGAAAGAAAGAAAGAAAGAAAGAAAGAAGAAAAGAAGGAAAAAAGAAAAGAAAAGTAAAAAGCCAATTGTGATGGGCATTGCCTGACTCAACCCACAGTTGAGTCGGGAAGATTGGGAATTTCAGGCTAGCCTGGGCTACATAGCTACATTTTGTCTCAAAGAATCAAATAACAGTGGCTAGAGAGACATCTCAAGAGTGTGTTGACCTGAATTCAACTCCCAGAACCCATGTAACAAACCAAACATATAGTGGTGCATGCTTGTAATCCCAGGGGATTGGAGACAAGCAGACGCCTGGGACTTGCTGGCCTGACAGCCTAATCTGTGAGCTTCCAGCCAAACAAAGGACCTGTCTCAAAAGCAAGATGTACATCACCTGAGGAATGACACCCAAGTTGATCTCCAGCCTTCACAGGTATCTGGACACTTGATTATCTAAACACACACACACACTAAATCAAATAAGAATAATAAACCAGATCAGGTATGATCGCACACGTCTCTAATTCCAGCCACTCAAAAAGCAGAAACAGGTGGATCTCTGTGAGTTCAAGGCCAGCCTGACCTACATAGTAAGTTTCAAGCTAACAAGGATTGCAAAGTGAGACCTAGTCTCGATTTTCATCATCATCATCATCATCATCTGGGGCCATCAGTTAAATGCCTGCAACATAAACATGAGGCTTTGAGTTCAGATCTCTGGCACCCATGTAAGAAACAGGGCATAGGCGTGTACATCTGTAACCCTAGCTAGTAATGACTGGGGCAGAGACCGTGAGTCCTCAGAGCTCACTGGCCAGCCATTCTAGCCAAGCAGTGAGGTCTGGTTCAGTGAGAGACCCCCATCTTCAAAAATAAACAAGAGGGGCTAGAGAGAGGGCTCAGCGGTTAAGAGCATGGCTGCTCTTCCAGAGAACCCAGGTTCAATTCCCAGCACCCACATGGTGGCACACAGTTGTCTGTCTGTAACTGCTGTTCTAGGGGATCCAACACCCTCACGCAGAGTACAGCCAAAATACCAATGCACAAAAAATAAAAATAAATAAATTGTCAAATAAGAGCTGAGTGGTAGTGGCGCACACCTTTAATCCCAGCACCCAAGAGGCAGAGGCAGGTGAATCTCTGTGAGTTTGAAGCTAGCCTGGTCTACAGAGCATGTTCTATGGCTGCACAGAGATATCATGGCTCAAAAACAAAAAACGCTTATGCATGCACAGAAACATGCAAATACACACATACACACATACACGCAAGCACACACGTACCCAAGATGAGCCTGCTCGGACAATGTCTGTCATCCCAACACAGCACTTGGGATGCTGAGGCAGGAGGAAAAGGGGTGTAGAAAGGGCCTACACTCAGCTACACAGTAGTTTAAGACCCATCTGGGCTACAGGAGAGACAGGCTGGAGAGATGGTTCAGTGGTTAAGAACACTCATTGCTTTTGCAGAGGACTCAGCTCAGTCCCAGCACCCACATGGTGGCTCACAACTGCTAGTAACTTCAGCTCCGGGGGAATCTGGCCTCCATCAGTTCCTGCCCACACATGGTTCACGTAAACTCAAGCAAGCAAACACACTTAATATAAAGAAAGCAAACAATAAATCGTTAAACACTACTACTAAATGATGAATAATTTTTTTCCCTCAAGACAGGGTTTCTCTCTGTAACCCTGGCTGTCCTGAAACTCACTCTGTAGACCAGGCTGGCTTCAAACTCACAGAGACCCCAGCCTCCCAAGTGCTGGGTTCAAAGGCATGCACTACCACAGCCTTAAAAAAAAAAAAGGGCTGGAGAGATGGCTCAGAGGTTAAGAGCACTGCCTGCTCTTCCAAAGGTCCTGAGTTCAATTCCCAGCAACCACATGGTGGCTCACAACCATCTGTAATGGGGTCTCCTCTTCTGGCATGCAGGCATATACACAGACAGAATATTGTATACATAATAAATAAATGAATGAATAAATATTTAAAAAAAAAAGTCAGCATGATAACAACGTCGAGCCTGGCCACTTCAGCGAGCAGCAGGAACGAAACCGAGCCCATGCCTACTACAGCTCGGCAGCCACTGTATTCTTTGAAGAGCACTGAGCACTGACACTTCTTCTCAGAACTCCACCATGCAGCAGGGACGGCGAGAGTAACACATCTGAGTCCTGGCCTTGCTCAGGACTTTATGTGTTTTCATGTGTTTAATTCCTTAGGGGTCAGTTATCATTAGACCCATTTTACAGAGGAGAACTCTGAGGCATGAAGGCATTCACTCACTTGCCTGAGTTATACAGCTAAGTCAGTTGCTGGGGCTCAAACTGAGTGGATTAATGTCCCCAAATGTTCACCCCTGTAGTCACCACCCTTTGTTGTGTAACTATGTTGTTCTCCAACTTCCTGGCGAAGTAAGGTCTATGGGTTCTGGGGAAGACATCCTTCCCTTAGACCCTGGCTTCTAGCACATGACTTACTTTGACCAGCAGAGTTGACTGGGAAGTACTAGCTGGCCAGTCCGGAGCCGGTTAGACACAGGAGGCTGCTTGGGCTAACTGTGATCTTAGACTAGAGTAGGTCCAGGGCCACAGGCTCTCCAGACAAAGCCAGCTACAGCCAATGATGCCCACTATCACTGTGATACCCCTAAAACTTGAGGTCTGAAGTACTGGACTATCAAGTCTAACCTAAATTATTAAACTCTTGACTTGACAGCTAAATAAATGTTTAGTGTTTCAAGACAGTGAGTTGGGTCAGGCAGTGGTGGCACACACTTTCAATCCCAGCACTTAAGAGGCAGAGACAGGCTGATCTCTATGAGTTTGAGGCCAGTCTCGTCTACAGAGCAAGTTCCAGGACAGGCTCCTAAGCTACTGAGAAATCCTGTCTCAAAAAACAAACAAACAAAAATCCAAGACAGTGAGTAGGAGGCGGGGTGATTTGTTACATGGCATTCCAGTAGCAATAGCTGGCTGATGCACTGTCTACCTCTAGAATCCTGATACATTATAAATACCTATTTGACGCCAAGCGTATCTCCAACACAACCTCCACATACACATCCCAGGCCTAGTTCTAAGACTATAAAAATAGAATAATACACTCTTTTCAAAGGACCCAGACAACTGCAAACTCGGGAGAGTTTAAAATGCTACGTAGGTTGTAAGTTGTGGCCAACGGTAGATTATTCCTTTCCGTGGGCTCTCTACAACCCATTGCTCTTCTTCCCTTCTCCCATAGAGACCTGTAAGAGACCACATGGCTACCTAGGGACTGGCAGCGTAAACTCAGTCAAGTCAACGGACCCGTCTGCTCTTCATTGAGTCATCTGTGGAAATCCTTAGGGTGTCTGAAGATGAACCGAGCTGCTCACTCGGCAAACGCGGTATCTGGTACACAGCAAGCACTCAGTACATCTCTCATTATGCTGTTCTTCCTCCCAGAGTGTCCAGAATTGCACCCAGAGCCTCACACTTCCGTGTGTTCCACCACTGAGCCACAGGGCCAGCCAAGTCTGAGTTTTCACCCTTTGGGCTTAGCAAGTCCAGGGTTCTGTCCAAGAGTCAAGAAGAGGCAGGCTCGATGCTTTGTTCCGGCTGTGTGGAAACCTAAGTAGCTTGAACTCAGTTTCTCCGTGCTTTTATTTCCTTCCCGGTTAATGGGTGGTCACAACTGTTTCCCCAATGGAGGATACTTGGGCCAGAGGAGGCGCTTAGCACTTGGCGAGCTTTCTGCCGGGCTCAGGGAGCAGCTCTGGCCTTTGGGAGGTGGTGGTGGGGGTATAGAAAGAGGGGTCCTGCCGGCCCTGGCAAAGGCCGTGGGGCGCTGAGATGAGACCCGATGCTTTAACCCTTCCAAAGCCGCGCCTCTCTGCCCTTGCAGTCCAGTAACCATGCGGAGGAGTGGGGCCTAGGAAGGACAAGGCCTTGGGGTGACCCACGCCTGGCCAGAGACTGGACTAGGTAGGGGTGAGGGGGTTCGCTGCACGCTGGATCCCAAACCTCCACCCGGCTAAACAAACCAGTAGGCTCGGGCCCGCCAGGGTGCGGGGGAATGAAGCTGGGCCAGGTGGGGAGATGCTGGGGAAGGGCCGCCGTCCGCACGGCCGCTCACCTG